TGACAAGCTGCCACTCAAGACTTCTATCAGTGCAAACCAAGACCTGGCCAATGGGAAGAGACCTCATTGGGCTGCAGGAGAAAGGAGAAGGCCACATGCCACCCAGACCACTGACAGTGAGAAGCACACATTTGACATTTGCATTAGGCTTTACTCCCTGCAAGGTGATGCCTAACTGGGAGGTCACATGACACCTGCACAACTCTGGTCACAAGACATAGAACTTTCTCAAAGCTCTACTTAGCAACCCTCCTATCATGAGGACATGCAAGAGTGTGACCTGTCATTCATCTGTTACCCTCACTAGACTGCAGCTTCAAGCAGAGTAGCAAGGTACACTTGCCAATATTTCAGTGTCTCTCGAGAGGTGATGTTCCCAGAATACTTGTGCATACACAGAGTAATGAACATCTACATTCCATGAAGTGGCTGGCTGTTTGAGAGTATAGATATAAAAGATGGTGGATGAATGCAAAGATGGATCCAATAGGCAAATGATAACAGACAGTGTTAGTCTGAATAAGCTGCTTGTCCCTACCTGATGTTGCTGTTTCTGGAGGTTGTTTGTCTTCTCCTGTTCATCTTCAACAGTCAGGTTCATCTCAGTCAAGTACTGTTGGAGGAGGTACCAATCAGCCTGCACTTCCTTGTAATCCTGCTTCACTTGGACCAATGTCTTCTTTACAACAGATGACTGCAACAGGAGCCGACTGTGCAGGTTTCTGGAAACACACTCTGAATATTAAGATCCTGCAGACTCCTCCTGCCATTCCTACTTATAGGTTCCATTACCCCACCAGGACCCAGGTTCCCATGAAGACCTAGTACAATACATTTCAATATATCCATGAAAGCTGCACAAACAGCAAGCAGCCAATACAGGCAAGAATAAATCAAGCTTCACTCCAAACACTATTAAGGCTCCATGTCTTTCTAAAAGGAAAATGTATCTCCAACTTTCTGTCCAAAAGAAAGAGGTATCTCCATGAGAACCAAATGCATTGGAGCAACATCAAGTAGTAGGGGGCAAATACCCTAAAGGGTGGTCAGGAGAACTAAGGGAGGATATTTTATCCCTGGTTCCACCACATTCAACTCTATAAAAACCTGCCTGAT